CTTCTTTCCTGTGCCTTTGACGACCTTATAACAACATCATCAAGTAATGCTCTTGATGGAGTGTATCTTGAGCCTCATTTTCGATTAATAATTGTAAAATTGGCTCCCGCGTGGATGAGTTTTTGCACAGTACAATCTTAACTTTTCCTGTCAAAGGTCAGTTATTATATTTCCTTTCTATCCACATATTCCTCACCCTTCTTTCTTGAGTGTCTCTTAACTTCTTTTATATTCGGTGAGCATTAGAGAAAAAAGCCTCTGTACATATATATATATATATATATATATATATATATATATATCATGAAAGCATTATGCTCAAGCTCAATGGTGAAGGCATTCTAACATGAATATCCGGTTTTGGCCGTTTCTATGGAAACTAAAATAAATAAGATAAGCATTTCACGTTTTGATGACCAGACCTTGTCGATCAGTCTAGGAAGTTTCATATATCAAAATTGTTTTTTTTAATATAAAAGTTATCAAAAATTTGTGTATCGCATTGGTTACGAAGCAGAGACAATGTCCTCTATTTGGGAGCTATCTATACTTGTTAACCTAGCTATGCAATAATTATCTCAATAAAATTACACTTGATTTATATGAAAGAGATTTGGTTTATCCTGTCTTTTAACATTTAACGGTCTCCGAGAGGTAATCTACAAATAATAGCCTCCAGTTTTTTTATTAATATCCCTGTGTTTTAAACTTTCTCCGACAATTTACTTATTCAGTCTTTTATTTAAACTCTCATTTGTTCAATTTCTGACATTTTCCTCTCGTATACGTATTCAGTTTTTTTTTTTATTCTTTGGCTTGTTTAATTTTTTTTATGTGTTGTTTTGTATAATTCTACTTAAGTTACCTCGATATCAAAATCACTCACGCATCGATGGCTACGTAAAGAATAAATTTATTTTTCCCTTACCTCCAAAACCTGGTTAATTTTTCTAATGGCGTCCCATTATTCCAATTCAGACCACGAGGCTTTCTAATACGCACATAAGTATTTTAGTAAACTGGTTAAAAATTGAATATAGCCGTCCGCGTCAAGACAGTTAAACCTATGACAGAATAAAGTTAAGTAGTAATTCTTTTTATAGGTTTAAAAGGGAACATTTTAAAAGTATATGTTCTCGTACTATATATGCAAATATATTAAAACAAAGTGGCAAAGAACGATGAAAATATTACGTCGTTTTTTGTTTTCATTATTAATTGTGAGTAATACTTGTTGGGATTTCTTTTTGGCTCTCCGGAAAGTGCACACAAGAGAAAAGTTTATTTTAATCCCATCTCATATAAAGATGTCTTTTCAGAGCATCAATGATATTTAATTTCACTTGCTACTCTATCTCCTGCGTTCTTGTGGTTGCAAAATAAACAATTTTCAGCACCAGGTTTATCTTTCAAAAGCTGAAAATTCCGTAATTTTATATAATAAATTGCATCCCAAATAATGTTCAGTAGTTAGTTTTGGCTTATGTGGAAGACATTCATCAAAGCGACTAACATATCCAATATAGTGCAAATGTTTTTACCAGCTGGATTTGAAGGTTGAAGTATTCTATTTGCCGTTCCGTATAAAGTTGGCTATTCTTAAGTAATGTCTTAATTTGATCGCATTCAGTTCCAATTTATCTAACCACCCTTGCAGTAGCGTGTGTGTCTAATTTTGATATTTTCATTTTCATTTCCTTCTTTATAAACCGCATAAATCTTTTTTGTCTGTGCTTGAATCATATTTTAACCTGTTTACACATCAACAAAAACAAGACACAAAAATTTTTGTTAACTTTCTTCTCTTTTCGATGTTAGAATCAATAGGGAAAGGTGAGCCGATTTCTTCATAAGAATACACATTGATATTAAAAGCCGAAACATATTTTAGATCATAAGAACAATTCATGTTTTGTTTTTGTCTTTTTTTGCCAGAGAATATTTAATCAACAATATTTTGGAGATAATAAAGATTTTTATACATACAAATCCTACTATTTAACCCATACTGGGGGCGAGAGACGAAACGAATTTATACCTTTCTCAAGCATATTTGCGCGTAAGTAAATGCAACGAACACAACTGGAATTCGAACACCGAATTCTCATTGCAAGCCGCTATTTAAGTACACCAACCGCACACCCCAAAAGCGGCGAAAAAAGGTCCTGAAAAGAATTAGTTCACAATCTAGCATTAAATGAACCTGCGTTATATATACGAGGAATAAAACCATTATTACCCTGGAGAAGTGACTTTTAGGGATGAAACGCAAATGGAAAACTAGTCCTAGGTCTGACGATAAACTACATCTGGCTGAAATGCCTCTGATGGTTGGCGGGGGTGAGAAGTGTAGAACCACCCTTTATTTATTGTCCCCAGATCCACAATGACCCGTAGTTGTAGCAACTGTTAGGGTCTTAAGTATGGCCAAATAATTAATGGTCGAACTGGGGTTAAAAATCTATGAAAGCATAAAAAAATCTATAGTAAAAATACCAGCAATACATTTTTATATGTAATAAAAGAGCAACAATACATTTTTGTAAAAGAAAGTTCTAATGCTCCCAAGAAAATGAAATTTCGTCATTAAATGACCCATAAGATGTTGATAAACCGCTAAACGAAAGGAAAACTAAAAATAGATTTAATTTTCTTATTTCTTCCATTATTCTGTTATACACATTTATAGCTTCCATATGAGGAATATACTGGGTTGTTATGGGGTCCACCCTTTTTTCATATAAGTGGACTCTACCGGTGTACCTGGACTGCTGCCGTTAAATACCCAGAGTTAGACAGTCAGTGGGAGTAGTCGGATAGTGAGAGGGTAGTCGGAAAGAGAGAGAGAATATACGAACGGAGATAGTGTGAGGTAACCTCTTGTAGAAGTCAGTTACAAGCACGTAGACTCTAAGGAAGTCCTACTTCGAGACTGTATATATATATCTGTATTTGCTACTAACCGTGTTCCTGGATTTACTAACAGTATTACCCTTTGTATGATTGTGTAAATACATTTTATTTCTTATATTTAAATATTGCGTTTGTTCTTCATTGGAGACCGAATTCATCTCGGAATCCACAACATGGGTGTCCATAAAGTTTCTTTACAATTTAAAAATATATTGCAAAGGCAATTGATATGATATGTTAATTAGATTTATTCAATGTACGCAGTAGTTATCAAAGGTTATTAATCACATTGGATTTGTTTATTTCTGGTATCCTGTTGATTAAAGAGGTACTGGTAAATGAACCCCTAACATTTCAAGACCGGTGGATTGGAAGGGATAACCAAATTCCCTGGCCACCTTGTTCACCAGATATCACTCCCCTGGCTTTCTTGTTATGGGGTTATGTTAATGATATCGTGTATCGAACAAACATACGGGACATTACTGATCTAAAGGAAAAGATCACTGATGCCATTGCCACCATAAATGAGGCTATGTTACAGCGAACATACTGCCTTTATTTCCTTCGTCCAACTAATGGTGCACATATAGAGGTGTATGAAATTAAACTTCATTATCTACTCCTCATTTTGTAACATTTTCTCCATATTTGTCTTGCTCATATATATGTCTTGCTCATATATATATATATATATATGTATGTATGGAGGATTATTGTGAAAATCGTTATTTCATATTATTGCCAAAGTATTAACTCGCCTAATAATATAAATCTGAGATACTTTTATTCATTTTTTTTTGTCATTCTTAGGAGTTTGATAAGTTTTTAATCATATTATATTTGTGTATTTCAGGTATCCTGTCGATGAAAGAGATACTGTTAAATGAACTCCCAAAAAATGGTTACTCCTCAAGAAAAGCACAATGTGTCATGGTTTATTGAAACAAAATCGGATAAGCAGACTCAGCACTTCTTTCTATGGGGTTATGTTAAATATATCGTGTATCGAAAAAAGATACGGGGCATCACTGATTTAAAGCAAGGTATCACTAATACCATTGTCACCATTGATGAGGTCATGCTACATCAAACATAGCAAGATATCGAGTTCCCTCCTAATGTCCAACTAATGATGTCCATATAGACGTGGGTTAAAATACGTAAAAAAACTTTAATATTTACACATTTTGTAACAATTTCCACATATTTGTTTGTTCATTTGCTTTGGTAATAGTTTTCAATTGTAAAGAGACTTTATGGACACCCTGTATAATACAGGAAAACAAAAAAGAATAAGTTTAAGTTGGATATTATGAAGTGAAAACAGCATGATGCATTGTTCATATTTATATAGGATTATTGTGAAAATCGTTATTTCATATTATTGCCAAAGCATTAACTCGCCTAATAATATAAATCTGAGATATATTTATTCTTTTTTTGTTGTCATTCTTCTAAATAGTTTGATAAATCATGTTTTCATTTATTGGAAATGTTAGCCATTTTATGCTGTTTCAATGACGAAGCCTTTACTTTCCTGATGTTTAGGACTCCTTCTTTCGTTGTGATGAAAAGTTATTCTTTATACTCTCATATTGATTTCAATTTATAATCTAAGATCTTACGAGGCGAATCAAGAAGTAATGCACCATGTTTATTAATAATCAACAGAATCAAATATGTCGTACATCAAGATATACATCACAGTTCCACATCCCCAGTTGTCAACATAGTCACCACCTCTTTGAATGTGCAGTACTCCCCCTCCGAATAGGGGCAGATTACTCTGCTTTTAAAAGTCAGCTGGCTGCTGAGGGAACTAGTTACAACAGTTTTCACATCTATATCACCAGCGTTACGTTTATCCTCAATGACTCTTTCATTGATGTCTAAGGCCGCTAAGTCAGGTGATGATGAAGAATTGAAAACTGATATAAGGAATTGGTTAGATCAGTATCCAGTAAAGTTTTACGAAAAGAACATTCAGAGAAGAAAGTGCATTGATGTAAGTGAGTGGTACATAAAGAGAACGAGGATAAAATTGAAATGAAATTTTATATTAATATTATATTTATATTAAAATATCATTGAATTATAATGCGAAAGGTTACAGTGGAGAGGAAGAAGGTTGTCATAAAAGAAAAAAGAGAAAGAAAGAAAGAAAGAAAAAAAGATAGAAAGAAAGAAAGAAAGAAAGAAAGAGAGAAAGAAAGACTACTAAGAAAAGAAAAAGATAACTTATAAATAGATAAAAAAAATAAATTTCTTTTAGAAAGAAAAAAGATAACTTATAAATAAATAAACAAACAAATAAACAAAGGAAGGAAGAAAAAAGAAAGAAAGATGGCTACAGAAATAGAAAAACAGAATTTATAAAGAAAGAAAGAAAGAAAGAAAGAAAGAAAGAAAGAAAGAGATAAAAGACCGATCACTAAAATGACGTCTTAGAAGGAAAAGGCTTAGAATGAATTAGAAAAAACTTACGGAAAGAAAGGAAGAAAAAATAGAAAGAAAGAAAGGAAGAAAGAAAAAGATGAAAAGAAAAAGAAAGATGGCTAAAATGATGTCTTACAAAGAAAAAGGCTTAGAATGAAATAGTAAAAGAAACCTAATAAATACAGAAAGAAAGAAAGAAAAAGAAAAGAAAAAGAAAGATTGCTAAAATGAAGGCTTAGGAAGAAAAATTCTTAGAAATAATTAGAAAAAGAGAACTTATAAATACAGAAAGAAAGAAAGAAAGAAAGAAAAAAGAAAAATGGCTAAAATGAAGGCTTAAAAGAAAATGGTTTAGAAAGAAAAAGGCTTAGAATGTAATAGAAAAGAGAACTTATAAATAAATAAATAGTGACAGCGAGAAGGAAAAAAATGCCATAAAAGAAAGATGGCTAAATAGTAAGCTTAGAAAAAAATGATTAGAAAGAAATAGAAAAAGAGAAAAAAGAAAAAAAGAAAAAGGAAAGAAAAAGAATTCTTACAAGAAAATAAAGAATAATGCTTAAAAACACAGGCTTAGAAAGAAATAAAAAAGAGGTTATAAATATAAAAAAACGAAAGCAAGCAAGAAAGAAAGAATGAAACAAAGAAAAGTGCCCATAAAGTAAAAAGAAAGAAAAATGGTTTAAAATCAATGAATAGACGTAGCAACATTTCGTGATTTGAATAGTTTTAAATGTTTGCTATTTTTTATTTGCCAATGTCCTGACTGCTTCCTGCTGAGAATGGTAAATTCTTCAGGCAAACAAAATCGATTCATGAATTATATAATAAGGTTTTCATTTATTCCAATGTTCACGGACTTTCTTCCAGCCAGGGTACTTACCATCTCCAAATGCTCAAGTCAACTAGCTGGGAAATTGTAATGTAAACGCCATTTTTATTTTCGTTTTAGAAAAAAAGACAGTTCTCCGACATTATATCCTAAAATTTCTCTTATGGCTTCTTATTCTTATCGTTAATCACAAGTCTGAAAATATAGGCCACCCGGTAAGAATCGGAATCACTGCACTGAGTTTCATAAATTAGCTCTACGTTGATGTACACAGTTAATGACTAAACTTAGTAATTTAGTAGGTACGGCAAGGTACTCTGCATTTGGAGGAGGAGGATTTAGTAGACGAAAGAAAATATTAGACGTCTGAAATTGTTTTCAGCGAAAAGACAGTTTTTATGTCTTTGGTTTTCAGTTAAAATAAAAAGGCAATAAACTTGTGTGAGTTAATTTTCTATTCAAATTTATTTTTATCCTTCTTGTTTTATATGCCATATCTCTTCAGGATTTAGTTGATCATGGCTCTCCACAATGTTCTATCTTTTGTAGTTTCTAGCATTGTTTACCTTTCTACTATTCCTACTCTGTATTCTCCAAAGCTGGTTAGCTAGGCTTATCTCTTTCCCTCTTGCCTTCAATATGTCCTGGAAAGGTCTTCATTCTACAGATATTTTCATTTTGTTTTTTTTTGTTTTTTTTATGGAAGTGCTTGTTGATTATTATATTGATGTGTAATTAATCTTTTTTCCAAACTTCTAAATAATCCTCTTCTTTAAGAACTTAAGTGACCATGCGTGTCCAAAGCTTTCTTACCTGTGAATTACGATTGGATAAGGTGTTGCCTTTTCTATATTTCTGAATTCAGCATTTTATTTTGTATGGCTGAAGAATTGGTTCTATATAGTTATATAGAACGAATTCTTCACTGCTGTTGTATCTATACATGTGTGGCATCATTTACCAAGGCAAAAAGAAAAGAAAGGACAAGAGAGGCGAGACCCAAAGCGTGGATGATAAATAGAACACCCACGACTAAGAGACAATGGATAAAGGATATTTTGATAAATAACAAATGGCGAAGAGTGTCATTACAATGGCAAAAAAATTCTAAGTGGATAAGGGAATCAGGTGTGTTCTGGCGACGGGCTGGTGTTATCGGGGATACATAAACAAACCGCTAATGCGGGAAGGCATCTGATTAGCAAACCACAGACCGACTAGCCAAAGAAAAATCCAATTGAAAATGTTATTTTGATAATTGACAAAAAACAGGTGGACTAAAGGGCTTTGGATAGATATGAAAAATTAATTGTGTCAAAGCCGCACACGAGGTGACGACTGACGGTTTTCTTTCGACAGAACATCTTTAGCCTGCGATAATAAAACTGTGTTATCAGTAATGTGTACCAAAAAATGAATGGAAACCTAGAAATGTTTCTTTTCGAGGCGATGGTCTGGCCGTGTTAAATAGACCACCCATTCTGATAATTAGCGATAATCTGACTGACGATGTCCAGATGAGACCAGGGTAAAATATTTTTTTTTTAGCGAGATATATTTTTTTTTCCTGAAACAAAGCCGCGGGATCGTACACGCCCGACTGGTCATCATTGGCCGAGCGGTGATCACGTGACGCAAGGAGAGAGCTGTCACCGCCCATTTAGAGGATGGGTATGAGAGGTTGCTACGAAGAAGTGGGGAGGGCAGTTCACGCCCCTCTGAAGTATGGTGAGAAGGTAGGAGTAAGAGAGGGCTCCCAAAAATGGAAAGAAGTGGAAAATTCCTAACCAAAATTAAGAGAAGTGGATATGTATTTAGAATTATCGAGGAACCCCCGGCGCCGACAAACCCACCCCGGTTTTGGTCGGCGTCCATATAAGCAAGGTCGCAGCGAGCAGAAATCAGTTCGGTTCGAGTTGAGTTTAGTTCCAGTTCGAGACAGTTCAGTTCAGTTCCAGTTCCAGTTCCAGCAGAGAGCTCCAGCCTCGCATCGGCTGACCAAGATTCGCGCAAATTCCGAACTCTTCTTCAATCCAAGAACAATTATTTTGAAGAGCGACTTAGATCCATACCACCAAATAAGTTTTTTTCGACTTTCGCCTGAAGACACACCGAAAAAACAATTTCTTAAAGAGCAAACAACTTGAAGTGTTAAAACTCGCCTAACGGAAAACAACGTGTCACAATCGGGTCGGGAGATAGATGCAGTCCTATGTATCCAACAACTAGACATAAAGTTTGTTATCCTTTTTTTGATACCTTGAATTTTTGAGTTATCATTTTATTTTCTTTTATGCATATTTGTGCGGTGTCACCCCCGTTTGAACCCGATTTGCATTACGGCCCCAACTACTGATTGGTCTCGTCTGCCTAAGATCAATTCACAACGTGGGTAGGCAGACTGGAGATCAATGCAGTTACTTTGGTAACCAGGCGTTGGAAGCGAGTTGGGAACGACGAGGCTGATATCGAATCTAACCAGATTCCCATCCGAATCACCAAAAAGTTAGAACGTCAAATTTGGGTGCCGCGACCGATACCAAGCCAGATGGTCGTCACAGGACGAGACAACACGACTGACGCGACAGGCGGACGTCACGTTTGGAGCGGTGACACCCGAACGAAGCAGCGAAGAGCGAGCGAAGAGCGAGCGAAGGCTGTGTTTAGGGACGTCACACATGGAAGATAGAATAAAGGAATTAATACCTTTTCCAAACGGCATTGATATGAAGTGAGCCTAACGAAATTGGAACTAAATTCATTGATTATATTTACCGCTTTTTCAACCTGATTAAAATACTTCATTTTAACATAGAAAAAATGTCAGGAATCTTTATTTTTTATTTGGTTTGTATTTAAATAATCCCTACCAACAAGAATAAATGTTTTGTTCAATTTAAAAATATATAATACTTGAATATGTATATGTTATACCATAATACCTATTCTATTATTAATGAACTCTCCCACACATAATAAGTAGTAGTAGCATTGACCAGTTCGGCTCAGTGGTGTTGAGCGGTCTGACTGCGCGCGCCTTCTGTCGAACTCACCGCGTTAGCAGAGAGGAACCCGGACGAGGCTTTGCCGAAGGGCGGGGTTTCGTCCGGGGAGGTAGACAGGGCCTGAACCCGTCTAGGCAGGTTCAAAGGCTATATTTTTGGCCGAGCCTACGGGCTCGGGGATACCCACATTAAAACCGGCCTTGTGCCATATTCGGTCCTCTTGGGTGGAACGATAAATACTCAGTGGTGTTGAGTGAGTCAGACGATATCAGACATTGAAGTACCAACCATCACAACTAGATTGCTGTGTCATTAACTCTTATTTTCAAGTTCCTAACTTTTTGTACGTCGAACCTAATTTAGGACGACATATTGAAATACAAGCCTCCACTGTGAAAACCATTCTACAACAGTATACCTGCAGACTTGTGCTCAGGCACATTTGTCTTTATTCAACATCCACAGAGCCCACCTCTGGTTTATACTGCAACTATGATGAGGAGACCTTAGTTACAGTTTCTGGAAAAGAGCGTGTTATAAACAATTTGAACAAGGTCAGCACGCTCAAGCCCTCGGCCACTATGACTTGTGACTTCGTGCTATCACAGCTATCGACGGCACCCAATGGTTCCGTCTATACAATTTCACTCATAAGATATGGGGCAATCCGTGGTATGGTTTCCAGGCTCTTTTCCTAACGCAAGGATCGACCCCTCCAGTCCGATACATCAGAAAATCTCCTTCCTGACAAACCGACCATGAACCCGGATTGCATGGTCAGAATACGAACGTTCTAACCACTCGGCAAGATATCAACATAAATACGGTACGAGGAAACAGAATTTTTCCAGTTTCTAGTTCACCATTGTAGACATTAGTATATCCGTGATATACTACAGAAGGAATGGCATGGGTTCCTAAAAGCAAGGAATGTCACATAAGAATTATTCTCAAAGAGATTCCATATACTCTTATCATACAATATATTATATACAAATATGTATCTGCCTATTTGTCTCAAAATGTGAAATTATAACATACATGAATACAACAATCAGTATGAACAGGTGAAAATCGTGAAGGTCTTTCTTGTAATATTTCGTGAATAAAAAAAACATCTAAACTGGTTGTGTCCCCTATCTTTCTAGTTGGGAATGTGTGGTTTCCAATTCGTTCTCTTGCTTTAAGCTTATGACGGCTATGTTCCTAGCGGTCGACAACGTTGCTGTTGATACTTCATCCCACGAATTGACGCCCTTCGTGAATTCATCGTTTACTCAAACGGAGATAATTACCAATTACATCCCTACAGCACTTTTTCTGTGTTTGCATTTGTGTTTGTAGCTGTGGAGGTAAAGAAGACGACATTTTATATGATCCTATCGACTGGCGGTACGACATCTTGAACAAAGAATTAGTCCCAATCTGCTTAATCTTTTCTTAGATTCTGCATGGTGCATCTTTAAACATCGACGTGAAGAAATGGCTTTAGAACATTTAAATATACCGTACCACATCCCGATGGAATCGGCTGGCAGAAAACGAATCTTTGATCAGTCCTTGGTACTACGCAAAAGTTTTTAAAGCAAACAACAGCATTGGCATGTGCAGCTAGAAGATATAATCAAATTTTTAACTTTCGACTGTAACAAGACCGAAAGGTTTGGAGAGAAGAACACATCAGTATTAAAAATAGATATAGCATAACTAGACTTGAGATGTCTCGTTAAAAAAAACTGCTTTGAGGAAAAGATTTTATAGAGTAAAGTTATCAAATATTTTCTACGTGGAAACGCAAAGATAAACATTACCGTTAAAATAAGCTGTGTGAAGGTAAAAAATTTTTCTTATAAAGTACGAGAATATCTCTCGTT